ATACCGATAGTATCGTCTCCGAATTTATTCTTAAGCTAAGGGAATTAAGAGAGTATTAGTCGAATTTCCGATAGTAGTACTTTAATACTTACCTACACGCCGATAATAATTAAATTCTTCTTTAATCGTATTAGGACCGAAGTCCTCCTCCTTTTCCTTCTACTCTTCCTCTTCCTCTTCCTATCTATAGAAAAGGTAAGTAGTCGGAGCCTTCTTAGCCTTCTTTTTCTTAATACGAGCCCTATTAAATCTATATTCTTTCCTACGCCTATAGAATATTTTCTTAACGACGCTTTAGTAGTACTTCGGCTATTCCTAGTCTTCCTCCTATTCTACCTTCTACTAATAAATCTTCTTTTCTCCCGGATTTAGTAGGTATATAATACTATAGAGATTACCGAACGACTCGAATATAGTACTAAAATATTTTTCTACCTTTATAAAGGAAGCGTCTATAGCTTTTATTATAGCTACTTTCTAGGGAACGGACTTCTTAGTAGGCTTTTTCGCGGTTTCGTTAAGCGCGTTAAAAAGCTAATTATAGTAGGTAAAGATAAGGTAGATAGTCGGTCCGCGGGTTCTTCTAATCGTAGCGGTAACCTTTACGTAATACTTACTAAAATATACGAGATACTCCGCTTGTTTCTATTTAGCTACCGAAAGCGCTAGCTACTTAATATTCTCCTTCTTCTAATAGATCTCGAGGGTACTATAGAAAGTATATCCCCTTATAGTTATATAGAAAGTCGAATCGAATCGAGTCTTAACCTCTTATATAAAATATAGTATCCGCTAAGGGGGCGTTTTTACTATCGCTTATTCTATATAATACTCTAGGCGTCGGCCTCTAGGCTCTTAATAAGACCCCTTTAGATTTCCTAGAATCGTTAGTATCTCTAGGAGCTCTAGTTCGTATAGATTGCTAGGCGACGAAGCTAGGAGAAACCTATTAGTAAAGTTCTCTAGAGCCGGCTATATATACTAGCTACGGATAAGAGTCGTACTCTATATAGAACGAGGGCGAGGCTTTCTACTTTATCCTTTTTTACTACTATAATAAGCTTCTCGACTCTCGACCCTACTAAATCCTCGTCTAGGATCCCCTACTAGTCGTCGTTTATCGGTACGATTTTTAGCTACTCGAAGAGTATCCGGATCGCGATTTAAATAGTATAAGCGAGGTAGGAAAACTTTTTCGGGAATATAACTAATACGTTCTACTCCCCTTAATTCGTTTCGCTATATTCTATTCTATACGTAGCTAAGATAGTAGTAAGCTTAATATTCTAAAGATTAGGCTCGACCGTAGACTTTATAATCTCTTCTACGTACTTCATCCTATCGATTAGTAACTTTAAAGATAAACGCTATAAGTAAGAAGATAGTACGTATAACGCCCTATATAGTATTCGACTACTACTAGCGTTATCCGAAGTAATAGAGATTAGTTTCGTCGTTACGTCTATACGCTATATTACTATATAGATAAGCTATACTATATCCCGACCGGTATACGAACCTAGGATATCTACGAATAAAATTACTAGTTCCTAGAGTCTCTATTCCGAGCTAACAAAATAGAGTACAATCGAGAGGAAGGAGGACCTTATAGTCCGGCCTAACTACCTATCGATAGCGATAGCTATCTAGCGAACATTTCGAAGGATTTCTCGGATATCGTCTAACGTAGCCTCTTTATTCTTCTCGAATATAGTATACTAGGTACTAGTATAGAGGAACGGGGCGGATACTTAGGAAGATATAAGTATATCTTCTATATAGATTTCCTCTTAAAGAAGTCTTCCGGAAGACCGTTTACGAGTCACGACTAGTATTTCGTTAGCTAGTTACTTGAAATCTTCCGCTAATAATTTACTAGGATTTTAGACCTAAGCTTCTTTATATACGACCTATTAAAGTTAGCTAAGTCCTTAAAACTCCTTTAAAAAGCCGGCGGCTATAGCCGGTAGCCGTAGCCGGTATAACGAGACGGCGTACCTCTTTCTCAAATACTATATCTATTTTAACGCTTTTCTCTCTTTAGGATTACTAACAACGTTTAGAAGTAAGATACCTAGTAGGCGATAAATTCCTATCCCTATACTTCGGGTATTTTAAGGCTAAACTATAAAAGTTATAGATAATAATAGGTTAACCTTTAAGCCGACAATTCGTATTACGGCGTAATAACCCTTCGGTAAAGAATTTCTAAAACATATCCGTACGATCCTTACTACCCTATCGTATAGAGTACTTCCGTAGCTTATAGTCCTTCAACTATAAGTATAAGGGGAACTATATCTTATAGACCTATTAATTAAACTCCTAGTTATAATAGCGGTTCTAGAGATACGCCTAGCTAGCCTTTTCGAAGATATCGGGATTAATAGTTAATATTCTTATATCTTCGAATAGCCTTTTTCTTAAACTCTATACTAGTAAGGAACGTAGACTAGTTCCTTACGAGAAAGATTAACTACTAGGATCTAGTAAGGATAATTCTAGCCTTAACCGTCGCCTAGTACTCGATACGTTCGAAGGTAAGTTCGAACTATCGTCCCTACGTCGCTATAATCGAGTTCGTACGTTACGGAAAAGTTTTTTCCGATCCCGAGGCTTCTAACGATCCTAAGGATCCTAAGTAATCCTAAGTAATCCTAAGTAATCCTAAGTAATCCTAAGTAATCCTAAGTAATCCTAATCGCCCGAGTTGCGACCCGACTTACGCTAGGATTACTTAGGATTAGTAGGATAATTACGATTAATAGGATCGCGACGGGATTACTTATAATCGGTTACGATTATATACGGGAAATATTACCGTTTTAGGAATACTTAGGACTATTTAGGATTACTTACACTTATCGTTAATAGTATAGATATTATTAGGATTTCAATTATATAAAGATACTACTAGTAGTAACCGATACTTAATTTTAAGCTATAAGTAATACTAGAATAATAATACTAAGGCGGCGAGAGCGCTCGGTATATTAATAGTATAGTCGACTTCGAGACGTATAATATAATCTACGACGAGGAATAGGAGGAGAAAGAAATACGAGCTATAAAGGCTTATAAGTAAGCGATAAAATAGTAGCGAGTAGAGCAAACCCTATAGAAATTAACCGCGAGGATTAGAAGTATCTATTACTTTCTTCTTATCTTCTATCTCTTTATTAGCGATAGCGAAATCGTCTTCGAGGAGCTTATATTTTTTAATAATTTAGTTAATATATGTTTATTCTTATCTATCTAGTTTAGCTTTATAGCGTCTATTTAGCTTACGACGGAAAGTCTATACTTCGACTTCCGTACCTATAGGGATATAAGGACGGACTTTTAGGTACCGGTTATAGAAAGTATAGAATGCTTCCTACTTCCCTTACTTTATCGTAGTTATATCGTTAAAGGCCTTTCCTTCCTCGTTACGAATACTATAATTATCTTTTAAGTCTTAGAAGAGATTATCGATACTCTTAAAGGGGTAATAAACTATCTTAAACCTACTCGGGATACGCGGATTAATTTACTACTACGCGGTCTTTCGAGTAAAATACTAGATATATTATATAGTATCTTCTTCCGAGCGAAAGGTAATGTTTTTAATCTTTAAGAATAGTGCCTAGAACTATTCTTCTAGGGATATATTAGAGTCTTCCTTACTAGAGAACTTTAGTAGTTCTAGAATATTAGCGGTAGACTTTATATATAACGATAGAGACGTACTAGATAAGATCTAATCTATATTTGGATTAGAATAAATAGTTATTATACGGAGGTCCGATCGTCCGTATTGCGTGCTCGCAAAAATCTCGCCCGGCTACGCCCACCACGCCCACCACGCCCAGCCACGCCCAGCTACGCCCACCACGCCCAGCCACGCCCAGCTACGCCCACCACGCCCAGCCACGCCCACCTACGCCCACCACGCCCACCTCGCCCGGCTACGCCCACCACGCCCACCACGCCCACCACGCCCACCACGCCCACCACGCCCGGTCACGCCCACCACGCCCGGCCACGCCCATCACGCCTGGCCACGCCCGGTCACGCCTGGCCACGCCCATCACGCCCATCACGCCCATCACGCCCATCACGCCCATCTCCGCCCATCTCCGCCCAGCCACGCCCAGCCTGAGCCGTATCGGCCGTCCACAGTGCTGCCTCGCAATGGTACAAACATGTAACATCTGCGGAGCTCTGGTTGCCCACAGCCACCTTGCTCGACATAAGGCGAGAAATCACAAGAAAGCTCCCTCACCAGAGCCTCCTCCGACACCGGTCGAGCAATCCAAGCAGATCAGTGATGTTCTGCTCGCTTGTGGTCTGGATATCAAAGAACTATGTAACTGGGACATCGACAGGCTCAATAAGCTGCCAAATATTCGAAACTTCAGGCCTGAACCACGTCGCCATCATACCCCGTGGGAAGTCATTGCCGACGACAAGATGCACATCCTGCCCGATTTAGAGGACTTGCTCGTCGATATCGCATATCGCGCGCGAAGGAATAGCAGTGTGCCTGCAGGAACGGAGGTGTGGCAGGGAAATGATTGTATGGCTTTCACGCCCGCTGAGTGGGTGGCATGGACGAAGCGAATACTGAAAGGCGAGCAAGTGCCAACACGAGTGCTCAATATGCCTATGGCCCATATCATGACGGCGGACAAGAACCAGGAGTACAGTCAGCGCGTAGCAGAGGTCGCGCCACGACATATACCAATGCACGGCTTCCGGCAAAGCCTGCCAACTGCCAACATTACTCCGCGGGGGACTATAACGGAGGTTCACCATGATTCTGACCATGCTATCACAACCGCAGTTGGACTGGCCAGTCGCCCAAGTAGCCCGTTGAAACTGTGGCTGCTGTGGCCATCTACAGAGCTACGCCACCTCGGAACGTGCTATAGCGACACGGACGCAGCCCTGTCCCAGATGGACTTTGGCTCCTTCTTTGTACAAATGCCAGGAGATTCCGTATGGGTTCCACCTAATTCGCCTCACGCCGTTGTTGCATTGGAATCTTGCTATTTATACGGATATGTCTTCACAACAAACTCCTGCGCCCATGACCCATCTGCTGTACTCGTCCAAATGCGCGTTGGTGAGCTGGAACGCAAAGCCTGCCGGGACCGTGTCAATCAGCTGCGCCTTGGCCTGGGGAGCACGGAATTTCGCCAAGCGCAGATCGATCAGTTTATTGAGACATGGGCTATGGAGTCCGCGGTATTTCGCACTCAGCACAATGAGTTTGAGGACCTGGTAGCGCTATGGATGGAAGATATCCGCAGTACTGGGTCATGTGCTTGGTGCATTGCTGCGGGTAGGCCAGGAGGTTACGATACCGGCATAGACGGCTCAGAGCATGCACGAGCTCATTTGGATGGCCGGATGCCTGCAACGCGGTAATGCTTCGATAGACAATTCGTAATCGAGTGACGGTATGCAGGAAGGCGATTCGAAGCCTTCGCAGCGGCGTATAGACCTCCAGAAGCAAGACACCAAACCCTCCGATGGGTTCTCGTGCTTAGTGCTCTTCTGACCTGGTCAATCGACTCTTCGGTCGTATATAACATTGCGGCAAGTTAGAGCAATGTATAATACAGATAGAAACAGAAAGCAAACGCTTGTTGATCATGGATTTAGTCTTCCTTCTGCTCTTGCCGACGATGAAGAGGCGGTGACACTTCCGGTCTTATAGTTGGTATTGGTGGCAGGCTATACGCTAATAGTCGCAATCGAGCAGGGCATTTCGAGTGACACGGATGGCTTGCGGGATATCGTGATGGGAATTATCCCAGAGGTTGAGATAGTCGGCGCTTTGCGAGCGAGAAATGGGAGATGGATTTGGGGCGGAGTAAGTTATATAGGTACAACATACTTCTGCGACAGATGACGGTATAAGCTGAGACATAGCTCGCTTCCCCATATGTCTCTCCAACTGCCTTTCTATTTCGGGAACATAAAGCATGGTAGGAATGTCCTATCGGGAAGGCAAGCTCTAAAGATGTGCTGTTGGACGCTACAATAGCGCTCGGCATCCAATATATTACGAAGCTTGCTCGCGAGTTGGAATGCCTGATCTGAATGCTTGAGGTTAAAGTCACATAATTGATCATCTAAAGACCGACCGATCACAGAGCGCTAAGAAATCTAGCTACGTCGCATTACCTAACAAAATTGCATTAATAAATAGTAATGTAAGGCCTCCTTATCCCGTAACACTACCCCCTCCTTCAAACCGCTACGTCTTTACAGCGTATACCGTAACTATTTAAGCCATTTCCGTGTCTAATCAAACTATAAACCAATGTCTATTAAAGCGCGTTAAATAGGTAATAGTCGTACAGTCGTAGAGTCGTAAAAAGTACTAGGTTAGGTGTATGTCGGGTACTAAGCGCTAAAGGGAAGTAAAGCCGTAAAGCCGTAATAAGGGCAACGCCGTAGATGTAAGACTTGCGTAATCGCTTGGGTTAGATTAGGATCTGTCGATTAGAGGGGTTTCTAGCGTCGGCTAATAAGAGGCCGAGAAACTCCGTTAAAGTCTGTCTCTTGCATATACGTATCTCTAGCTCTTTCTATATGCTAAAGGGTGTCTCGAAGGAGTATAAGTGCTACTAAGGGCTCGGAGGGTAATAAACCCGCTTCGAAGAGGTATTAGCTTGCGCTAGCAGTCGCTTAATCTTTAAGTCTTTACGCTACTACCTATTTAGATAGCATTCTTCGTAGCTATAGTGTCCTATTTGTCTATAGCGGAAACAACTATTATTCTTTATTAAATGCTCCCTCTCTTCCGACGTTAATAGCGCTCGGTAGACTAGTAGTAGCAGCGCTAGCTTCTGCTATATCGATATCGAATTATTTAATAGGCTTAGGAAGGAGCGACTTATTAAAAGCTAGAATCGCCTTGTCTCGGTAATCTGCCTCGCTTTCGAGCTATTCCGTATACTCGTGCCATCTCGCGCGTAAAGGAGTATTTTAAAGGCCTGCTAATTGGCAGGCGTATAGCAATATAGGAAAGGTAGGTAGGTTGTTCAATCTCGATCCCTATAAACGCTATAGGTAGTAGAGTTCCTCGACTTCTCGAATTCTAGTGCTAGTTCTCGTTCCTATCGTATATCTGGTGTCCTATAAGCGATCGAGGTTTATAACACGGGCTAACTAAATAGGTACCGTTATTGCCTAGAAACCTCGATAGGGAGGAAGTTCTATCGAGAAGAGGATAGTAAGAAGGCTTTAAGGAAAGAAGGACCCTTACGGGTATACCTATACTATCCGAGGCACTAATCCGAGCTGCGAGGCTCGCCCCGTAACATTCCCCTATAACCGATCCTTATCCTCCTTATTACTGTCGTCGGCGACTATCAAACCTTAAACTCGGCGATCTTTAAGATCCTAGAGGATTTGCTAGATACTATATCGATATATACTCGGCTGTCGGACGTAGCCGACGGGATGCTAAATAGGCTAGAGGCCGTAGAAACTATCGACGAGTTGCTAAAGCTAATTACTAAAATCGAGGGAGTACTCTATAGGTCTGTTCGTTAATACGTATTTAGAGGCGAATAGTCTACTCTTTAAGATTACGGATAGATATAGTCTCTTAGCCGCCTAACCGGCTCGCGTATTACTGTTTATAACTTGCCTCTAGTTCTCCGTAGGAAGCATATTATCCGATAGGATTACGACCGGGTTTAAGGGAGATTCGAGCATATCCGGGCTAGCAAGGTTACAGATTGGAAGGCCAGCTTATAAGCAAGCATTTATTCTCCGGAATTGGCCTTAGCTTATAGCTAGACCTTGAAAACTGTATTCTCTATAGCGGACAACATAGACGATCGGGAGACATACTATTAACGAAGACAGCGTATAAGTAGTCTAGGGCGGACGACCTAGCTCTATAAAATCTCGCTATTCTGTATCCGACTAGACGTAGCGACAGTACGCTAGCTAGCTATATAGATCATCCTTAGCTAGTACTACGAGGACGCTAGACTTCCTCTTCGTATACTGCGTTATTATAGATCGATAGAAGCGACGTAGCCTAATCTTTATTATTTGCGTATGCTTACGCACGCCTAGAATTTCGGAATTTGTCGTTATTCGCGGCGCTTGCGAGGGACGCAGTGTCTATAGCTCTAAGTTAGTGTTGTTATAGTATTACGGCTAGGTTCTACTATTTCTTCCTCGCTTCTTACTAGCCGATTTCCGGGTCGTCGTAGCGTCGAATATATATTAATAATCGCGTCAATCTTTAGGATCTACTAGAGGTTGTCGTCTATATTAATTCGAAAGCGAGAGAATTGCTCGAAACTCTATCGCTTAGCGGTAGACCAGTAGAAGCTATTCGGTATTTCTCTTTTAGGGATAAAGTAGAAACACCTCTGGCGAGGTAGACCTAAAAATTCGAATTAATAGAAGAAGAAGTCAAACCTGTTAAAGGCGGAGAAGTAATAGTGATTAGTGCTATGCTTCTCGCAGCAAACTTAGATATTACTAAAGACCGAATTTAAGGGCCGAGGGGTCGACTTAAGCTTATACTAGATAATCTTTCTATTTATCTTAAAATCGCCTAGACGGGGTTAGAGACCTACGAAGTCGAAATCGATGTTAGCGGCTTTGATATAACACTGCCTAATCCTCAAAGCTTCTTAGAACGCTATAAATTGCGAGTTGTCTTCGTAGGGCCTTATAAGAACCCTAGGCTTTTTCGTTACGATAGGGTTCTATTCCGGAAAGGCGACTCTATTCGAAGGATTAACATATATAGTATTGCTAAGCGCATGTTCGCGGATTCGTCGAATAGCTTCTAGTAGTATAGCACTCGGCATTCGGTACGATAGGGAGCATAGGTCGAGCATTCTATACGTGTTAGGTAGTAGTACTAATATACTAATAGTTGTAATATGCTCTTTCTGCTTAGCATAATAACGCCGCTCTCCTTAAAGTGCTAACTATTCCTGCCTATAGTTAGGTACGACGTCTACGAAAGAGGGATCGGTAAGCGCTACGCGGATAAAGAATGCTACTACAGCCCTTTATACTAGAAATGTAATATACTCTTAATCGCCTGCGCCGGATCCTACTATGCTCTTTATATCGAATAAAAGCACCTCGCTCTAGTTATTAGGTTCGTAAGAGTCGAGCTCTACAAATCGATCGATATACTTCGTACTAAGAGTATAGCTCCGGCTACAGTTAATTCCCCTATCTGCTAGCCTAAACTCGCTAGATCGGATAGCGTAAGAACTATAGCGAAGAATAGAGAAGATGTCTCCTTTAGCTTCCGCGCCGGAATTGTACCTAATATTTAGTTCTAGAATCCGTAGAGGCTGTAATGCACCTTCTAACTATCGCTTTACCTTTAGTACTAGCGCCCTTAAGGGCTCTAACATCTTGCTAGAAGGCAATTTGGGACTTAAGCTTTACTAGATTAGAAAGAATAATAATTTAGGAGCAACTTAGAAGTGTTTACGTAAGTCTTTATCGATATAAATATGCGCGCTCCCGAGCCCCCGCTACTAAAGGCTCTCGATAAGCTTTCCCGCTATTATAAAGTTCTCTATTACTATAAGATAACTAGGAGGATTAAGTATTCTAATTCTAGCACTCGAGACAATGTCTTATCCCTAGCGCCTAGCTTCTAGAGCTTTATTATCTACTTAGTCGACTTGCTATAATACCTCTTTCCCTATCTCCTTCCTGTCTTTAAAAACACTATCTTAGGAAAGAATCTCTAGTATTAGCATCATTCTCGTAGCGTAGGATGTTATCTACTAATTCTCTAGACTAGGTTGCTGCCGAGAAGCGCCGCGTAGAGCACTCCGACAATTCTAAGCTAACGAAATCTAGAAAGACCGATTACAGTACGGAGGCCTATACGTACTAGAATGTCAATATAGCACTTCTAACCGCAGCGATAACAACGCAATCTCTGCCCCTTTAAGTTCTTTTTAATATATCTTTTTATCTATAGGAGTTATAGCTTAATAATATAATATAAATATACCCTAATTTAGATCTATTTTTAGAAAATTTTAAAATTTCTAGTCGTTAGCTACTAAATTAATAAGCTATATAGCCTAAAAGTCTAATTTAGAGGTTTAGAGATTTTGGCGTTTTTTAGGCCTTAGTATACTATTTTTAGTAATCTAAAAGTAAGATCTTATAGTTTCACTTAGTAAAAATCTATTTTAAAATTTCTATATTAGTATAGCTACTATTAGTAATATAATCTAGAAAAGAATATTAGTTTCTTACTAAATTCTCTTTAGTTTATCTTTTTATTTAGAAGAGTTATAGCTTAGTAATATAAGACAAATATACTTTAACTTTTATATATTTTTAGAAAATAACTAAAACTATTATAGGTATCTACTAAGATTAGCCTAAAACTCTTAAATAAAGATTTTAGCATTTTAGTATTTATTAAGCCTTAGCATACTATTTTTAGTAATCTAAAACCTAGACCTAAAGGTTTTATCTAGTATAAATATAGGTTGAGATTTTTATCTTAATACGCTTGCTATTAGCCTTGAAATCTAAAAGCGAATATTATTAGGAATTGTAGGCTTAGGAATTTAAAGTTTATAATTCTTAAGAATATTCTTTTCTAGGTTATAAGACTATTTATAACTTAATATAAGTAAAAGCTCTAGTATAGATTTCTACTAGGTAAAACTATTAGGTTTGGGTTTTAGATTACTAAAAATAGTATACTAAGGCTTAAAAAACGCTAAAATCTTCAAATCTTTATTCTAGAATTTTAGGCTAATTTTAGTAGATAGCTATATTAATTTTAGTTTTTTTCTAAAGATATTAAAAAGCTAAAGTATATTTGTCTTATATTACTAAGCTATAACTCTTCTAAATAAAAAGATATACGAAAGAGAATCTAAGAAGAATTTAAGTTTTAAATTCTAAATTATATAGCTGCTAGTAGCTATATTAAGAGAAAAATTTGAAATTAGATTTTTATTAAGTAAAACTATAAGTTCTAGATTTTAGATTACTAAAAATAGTATACTAAGGCCTAAAAAACGCTAGAATTCTTAAATCTCTATATTAGACTTTTAAGCTATATAGCTTCTTAATTGAGTAGGTAACGACTAGAAATTTTAATATTTTCTAAAAGTATACCCAAATTAGAGTATCTTTGTCTTACATTATTAAGCTATAACTCCTCTAGATAAAAAGATATATTAAAAAGAACTTGAAGGGGCAAAGATTAGAAGACAAAGTCTATATTAACAATCTGGTATGTATAGAGCTCCGTCTTATAGCACAACGCACATTGCTAGACCTAGATTCGTAGATCTAAAGGCTATTAAAGACCTGGTTGAGAGACTCGAATCCCTACAGGCCGACACAAAGAAGAACTATACTACTATTAAGAGAGGTGCTTCCGTCTTAAAGCAGCTTCGCGCTCAAGTCGCAGCCTATCCTAGCAACGACAATTTCTAGTACAACGTCTATTACCTATTCGCTGCAGGTATAAGAGACCTTAAGGCAGCTACTAGTATTATAAGCTTTAGCATTAAAGAGCTTAAAAAGGGTTAGCAGCAGGTCTTAGAGGAGGTAGGGAATAGCGAGGACGAATTCGAGGAAGACAAGGAGGAGTTGTAGTAATAGGAAGAGAAGGCCGGGAGCAAGGAATAAGAAGCAGAGGAGTAAACGTAGGTACTAATAATCTACTACGAACATCGACATTAACTAACTAGTCAATTTTCATAGAAATTAGCCTAGAGTTAGCTTTCTTCCGATCGATTATACCGGTAACGGAAGCGCCCTCCGTCTAGTAGAAAAAGCACTACTACTAACCATCTTACATTACTTGCACATTACTATGCCTCTCTATCGAACACGCTAATATACCTATATAACTACTAACGATGCCCTATCTAACACCCCCGGCGACCGACAGCTACAAATCTATACCTAATACAATATTAACCTTTATCTTAGAACGTTACTCGGTATCTACTCGCTATAGTTGTTAATCGTAGTATATTCTATAGAAGAGATTTCGCTAAGTCGCTATAGATTAAGAATAACGACCTTTACAAACTAACGAAATTAAGTACCTACTTTCCGCTTTATATATCTAGATAGTAATAGAAAGCGACGCTAGATAACAAACACTATAGTAGCATAGAATCGAGAACAAATCTAAACGTAAGCGATAAAGTATTAGGACTATAAGTGGCCTTCGCGCGTGTATAGAGAACCAGATTATCCTATATAATGCTTCGCGTTAGTAGCAATGCCCGAGCGTGTATCCGAACTACTAGGATAGCCGATGCCGCGACCGACTACGAAGTATGCCGAGAGTAAAGTAACAATTTCGGGGCCGCTATAGAGTCGCCGCTAATCTCTCCTAGCAGAGATGAGATTGCGTAGCTACATGTATATTAGGCTTGTTTTATAAACCGCGTCGGAGAGAGAAACATCTATAACCGCGGTAGACTTGTTAACAATAGCTCGTATCTTTATCTTTAACCTCTCTATCTTCCCTTGCTAGCTACTATTCCAATTTTGAAAAGGGAACAATACTGCCTAGGTAAGAATACAATGTGCTAATATCTAACGATAGTAGAGCTAATATAGTCTTATAGACTGCAAAAACCTAGAGCCTACTATAACTCCGCAAACCGACGGGCTATACCTACCTCTCGTTACCTCTTACTATAGCTTGTATAATACACCCTACGTAGTCGCTAATCTTACTAAAGCCGACCTCCGCTAACTACTCGCTCTTTGCGGCGTAGATTATCCTTAAGAATCGTCTAAAGCCGTACTAAGGGAGCTTTATAGACACTGTTATTCTGCGCTATATACTAAGATAGGAATACTAGAGAAGCAGATTTCAGAAGCGTATATAGAGCCTAGAAGCGCAAAGATGTTTAACGACAGAGATTAACCCGTATTAGTAGCAATTCTAGACTAGTAATGCCGCGGCGTTCGGCTATTAATTACCTACTAGCGACAGAATCCACTTTCTTACCTCGTACTAGAGCGCTACCTTCAGCTCTAACAGATCCTATCGGCTTATCGCTATTCTTATTAAGAACGTTATTTCCTACTAGCGCGACCCTGCCTGCTGCCTCGCGCGATCCTTAGCTAGATATAGATACGATAGCCGAAGCTCGAGTATCCGTTATAAACGAAGATGTCGCCCTCTTAGTCTAGTTGCTCTTTATAGGAGCTGTGCTAGGATATCTTAGCCGTGCCTTATAAGCAGGAGAGGGGTTTAGGAGCTAGATTAGCCGTGCGGTCTTTAGTAGGCCTAAAGCGGTCTACTAAATGCTCTAGTCTCGGAGGCGGTATAGATTGCTTAGGTGCTTAAGGCGATATCTAAATAACCGGGTAAGAGAGTACCGCGAAAGAAGTCAAACAAAGCTACATACTCTAGCAATTGAAATGTAATTGTTATACGCGATACCTAGCTCTTAATTAAAAGCGATAGCTAAGTCGCGGAAAAGCGCTACGAATCGCCCTATATTTATCCGTCGAGTCTATACAACTACGTCTACGTTAGAGCTTACAGACCTTGCAATCTGAATGCGCGTCTAATAGAACTCAAATCAGTCTCTAATTATTAGGATACCCTCGCTAACTGCCTCTACTCCTTAATATATTAGACGTAGAGGACCCGAGAGATCCTAGAGACATTAGACTAAGCTAGGTTAGTAGCAATAACAGCTTATTACCTTAGTCGAAAGCTCTCCTCGCTATAATCCTCCTTAAAGATGTTTTCCTCGTCCTATTCCTCGTCCTTATCGGTACTAGACATATTGCTAGACGATATTACCGACGTACTAGGCATTATTTCTTCTTCGTATAACTCTACGAGTCTATCGTCCTTAAATATGCTCTTATCGCTATTATCGATTGCTATAGCGTCTAGCTAACTATCGTTACTATCTCTATCGAAACTAGGAAAGCGTAGGGGCTCGCGAGCTATTCTCTTACACAAGCGATTCTTTAATATATCGCTCCCATTCTCTAGGTGTTTAATATCTAGCGCTATAGAGCTCTCTATACGTATCGGTAATAGTACGGAATTATCTAAAGCGACTCTAGCGATAGAATTACTTTTAATAGCTAATATCGGAGCAGGAGCAGTAACACTACGGCTGTAGGCAAAGTTATAAACTAGTTCGCCTTCTGCACGAATTAAGCCTATTAAATCGTAGATTCTAATGTTAATAGCGGCCGCTTGATTGTAGTAGGCATTGTCTATAAGCGTAACGAATCGTTTTTCTATCTATAATAGCGTAAAATTAGTGCGGAATACCTTGTTGTAACCTATTGCCCTACGTATACTAGCAGTTTCGGTCTTTTCCGGATTATCTCGATAGCGCTCGAGTATAGCAACGCGTTTAAGGATTAGTCTCCTTCGAGCTGCTAGATCCGTAAGCGCGCCGGACTACTAAGGTGTAGCGCTCGGTATATCGACTATAGTCTCCTCGTTCTTAATAGCTTCTAAGTAACGGACAAGCTTGTTATTAATATCTAACGCGCTCTCTCGGTCTCTATTATTTACACTGCCTACTAAACCTAGGGCCTGGAAATCTTTATCTATTATTGCTCTCTATATAAGAAGCTAATCGAGCTCTAGATCGGCTTCCGAACCTAATAAAACATGCTTAACTTCTTAACGTTTTTTACGGGGCACCTTAGGAGTTTTCGGTGTCTTTAATCTTAGGGTCGGCTTCGACTTAGGCTTCAGCTTTAAAAGGTTATTAGCCTGCTATAGTAATATACTTAATGCTTAGGAAGCTATTAGATTCTTCTTTCTAGTCTTGCTTAATCGCCCTCCTAACTTAGCACTAATCTCTAGCCTAAGCTTATCGATCTTGGCATTAATTGCGGTTATCTAGGTACAGACTATCTCCGTTTCAGCCCCTTGCTGTTTAAGCGCAAGGAGGTTTTTAGTATAGCAGGTAGTAGGCTCTTTCTAACTACTACCTTTACTACCTTCTACCTTCTACCTTCTACCTTCTACCTTCTACCTTCTACCTTCTACCTCTAACCATTCTATATCGGACTACTACGCGACTAGACCCACATACCTACACACTAAACTACACTAACCTCCTTGCGCTAGCAAGGGTCTAAGGACAAATGTGCTAAATCTGTAGTATTATCCTTATAAAAATAAAAGATTACTAACTAGCGTAGAATACTATAATTTGATGTATATATGTTGTAGCCCTACTATTTCTGAGTTATTCTGTATATATAATATTCAAATGCGACGTGTAGTTATAAAGAAAACAAGCAATCCTTACTACGGGTAGATATATATATACGACGGATTGTTGCAGAGCGCTGCTACCTAATATCTAATATAGGAAATACATACATCTATAACTAGGAGGTTGTAGACCGGCTAATCCTAAGTACTGTTTGTATAAGCTATGTATCGAGAAAATGTATGCCTACTATCTGCTAGCTCTTAAGCGGAGCTGAGCTAGGTACTCGAAATAAGACCTTCGGATCTCGACAAGTAACAACTCGGAGGTTCTAGAATAGCCAATTCTTGATCACTTTGATATAAGCTATGTTTGTATAGAGCGTGGTGTTATTGTGTTGTGTCTAAGTAGCGGAGGTCACTTAGCTATTACTAAAAGCTAGCACTAAAAGCTAGCACTAAAAGCTAGCACTAGCACTAGCACTAGCACTAGCACTAGCACTAGCATATTGTCTACTAACTATTCTCGGTTGTGTATTAAGCGATAGAAGATCCTGCGTATAGGCGGCCTTCTATAGGCGGCTTCCTATAGGCCGTCGTTTGTCGCGCTAAGAAACCTCGTAAAACACAGTCTTGTTTAGCTTCGGATGCGCGTTAAGGTAGACTGTCTCTGTGTGTCGTATGTCGTGTGTCGTGTGTCGTGTATCGTGTGTCGTGTGTCGTGTGTCGTGTGTCGTGTGTCGTGTGTCGTGTGTCGCTGTTAGTAATTCGAAAAAAGGCCTCATTTACACGCTCTTTATTTAAGTAGGCCTAAAGGCAACAGGGCTTTGCCGCTTTAAGCTACGGGTGTAATAGCGGGCTGCCGCCCTTCTTCTTCTTCTTCTTCCTCTTGCTCTTAGCTTCTTCCGCCTCGCATCTACTACTCGCATTTACTACTCGCATCCACTACTCGCATCTACCGCTAATATGTCCGACGTCGACCTGCTAGACTCCGACCTACTAGACCTACTAAGTGCGCTTTCTAGCCTGCCGCTAAATCTATACCCGAATAAGTTGTCTAAGCTATTATCTGAATTAAACCTAGATTCCGAGGCAGATACTAGTATATAAGCTACGCTTAATGCAGACTAGCAACGTATTGAGGTAGAGCGCTAGATAGCTGCTAATAAGGAGGCCACTATCGACGAAGAGGCTACTATCGACGAAGAGGCTACTATCGACGAAGAGGCACGTAGAGAGGCCCTATTCTAGGCGGTCGCTAATAAGGACATATATAAGGCGGAAACATATAAGCAGGAGGATCTTAGCGATAATAATGTCGCACTAGAAGAGGCGGAGGAGGCTCCTATCGAAGAAGACGAGGCTATCGATCTATTTAGCGATGTTAAGGAGGATAATCGTAATAAACTCGCGGATAAGGAAAATGCGGAAGATGCTAGCGCAGCTATAGCACTACGCCGCTAGACTCGATAGCAGACTCGACTCGCCGCCGCCGCCGCCGCCGCCGCCGCCGCCGCCGCCGCCGCTGCTAGCCCTTAGCGACGTATTCAATAGAATAGGACTACTCGAGGCACTTAACGCGTTCGTAGTTAGCGTCGTACCCGCGAGCAGAAGTACGTTAATATCTTCGGAGAGATAAAGCGTACTAGGCTCCCGCCTAAGCAGTAGATAATAATCTTTAATAGTTATAGCGAGAAGCTAAATAGGACTTATCGCAACTATATCCGCTAGTCTATAGCTGCCCTTAAATATAAGTATATCGTCTTAGCTCGAGTTATTCGCAACGAACTTAAGAAGCTTATTAGTAAGCCATTCTTTAACTAGTATAAACCGGAAGATTCGATAAAGGAGGTCAACCTATAGGAGATATATAGTGTTATCGAAGACACTACACTAACCTAGGTAGATCTTCTACGTAAGCTACTTCCGAATAAGAAGATCCTACTCGACAAGACTACGAACGAGTCGCCTCCGTACAAGTAGGACCGCCTCCGTAAGCGCATTGCAGTAATAACACAGATAGCTATTCGCTCGATCTCCTTAAAGAAGGCTTCTATATTCGGCAAGCAATTCGGCCTATACCTAGTTACTAGTAGTGTGCTATACTATATAATTAGTATTATCAACAATATAGGCCTGTCTAGTGCCGCTCGTACGATTTAGGTACTAATGCGGAAGACAGAGGCAGTTTAGGACTAGCGTGTAATCGTAATAGCTCGAGACAAGCGGAGTTTCTCGGTATACGATAACCTAGTTAAGCAGAAGAATCGTAAGGGCGTCTAGAAGCAGGGTGACCGTACGGAGATACTAAATATAACTACCTCCTATATCGGCATTAACGAGCGTATTCTAGTAGAAGGTTTAACTAAGGATATAATTGATTTGAACTCGGAGCTTAGCTATAAACACATCCTAGGAAATCTTGCCGAGGACGCGAAGTATAGAACCCGTAAGCACCTCTCGTTATACTATATCGACTAGGCATTAGGTGTCGTATTTAGACTAGAGCTAAAGGGTGTGTTCGAGGGTTACGATTTCGAGACACGATATTAGTCGACTATTACGCAGAGTCTCGATATAGCACTCGGAATTAGTACTAAGCATCTCCGTCCGGGCACTAAAACCGAACGCTTTGCATAGCTAATAATCGATATTATAGACCCGGAAGAAGCTACTAATCTCGTCCCGATAAAGCTATCGATAAACGATAAGGTATCGATTACTAGATCTAAGGAGGTTCTAAAGGACATCTTCCTCGACAATATATAGCTAGATAAGGATAAGGACTTCGGATATTAGCTACAACCTAGTAACTCTACTAAACAGATTGCCGCGCGCGACAAGAAGAGTCGGCTGTATCTAATCGTCGGAGACTAGATAACTTATGCCCGTTTTAATAGCTATTAAGCGGAAGGCGTCGAGTCGGAGCGCCCGTATAATCGATACGACTAGGGCGTAATCGTGCCTAGCTAGCTATATGTCTGTATAAACAAAGCGTACGGCATCGTTAAGACCCACTTCGATAAGAATTCCGATGAAGTATAGCTTACCTATTCCTTAGTCGGCGATGCCTTGTTCTATACGATAAAAGGCATTAGTAAAGAGAACCCTAAATACTTCCTTATCTTGAACCTACTATATCGTATGTTCCGTAGCCGTGTTACTGCCTGCTTCTAGTATAAGATAGACTCGCAGGGTTTTTTAGACTATTCCGATAAGTCGAAGAGCCGGATCGAGGTACTAAAGGTCGCTATCTCTAATCTCGAGCCGGGGTAGTATCTACAAATAGTCGAGAACATCTAGACTAAGGCGTTTACTAAGGAGGCATAGTAGAATAAGTATGTTAGTAAGGATGAGGTCCTTATCTAGGATACTAATTATACTACTATATGCCGCTTGCTTATATAGATCGAGGAGCTAATAACAATACGTACCGCTATCCGGAAAATAGATATCGGTTACTTAAAGCGTATAGTAGACTACCTCATCGTTCTATTCCTTAGAACTAACTAGACTAACTACGCGAAGCATATGCTAGAATTCCGCTAGTTACTCGAACAGGATTGGCCGTTACGTCGAGCATTAATAGCTATCTCTATCGTAAATCCCTCGGGTAAGGAAGGTAAAGGCATCGCTATAGATAAGGAAATCGAGCTTATTAACAACGACCTAACTCTAGACCTGAACCACTTTAGTAACTCGACCTATAATATAGCCGCTGTCGCTCGCAAGAAGGCCGGTAATCGCCGCGTAGCTCGAGCATTAAAGAAGATATTTACATCCGCGATCGGTGTCGAAGGTACCAATTACTATACTAACAAGAACGCCGTAACCGATGTACTAAGTATAGCCGACAAGCTGTTCCGAGATAGCCTTATAGAGCGACAGCTAGTTAGTAAGGATTCTCCTAAGGATAATCGTGCCCTATCGGACGATATTTAGCAGATTAGTATTAGTAAGCTAGTACTAGCGATTAAGGCGTTAAATGAAGCTTATAGCGCTTGTTCTCGGTATATAACTGTAAGCACGAACGAGGCAGGCAATAATAGCGTCGATAGCATTAATAGTACCGATGCTCGTAGCTACGGACTTAACGGATATAGCGGAGATCGTAGTCCACTCGGTGCTAGGGCTATTAATAAGGCAGATAAGCTATATATAGATGCTAATAGCTTTACTTAGTTAGGCGACGGTCCACTACCGGTAGGATATATCTAGGCATTAGGCGCAGACGATAGTAGTAGTAGTAGCAGTAGCAATCTCGGCTTCTATACTATAGCTAGCGGTATGCTATACGGCGCAGCACTCGCAGACCTAGATATGCTATAGTCTAACGATGCTAATCGTAACCTAGTTTACGATACTAGTGGAGCTAGTAGAGCTAGTAGAGCTAGTAGAGCTAGTAGAACTAGTAGAACTAGTAGAACTAGTAGTAGAATAGACGATAGCGACGACCTAACACTTATGCATAGTGCTATCTAAGAGACCGCTACTGCTGCTAGCCACTTCGATTATGCCGAGTATTAGGATCTAGACTAAGATAATGACGAGGCTATTGCAATAGCTATAGCTATAGACTAGGGTATTATAGCGATTAAGGATTAAATCAAAATAGCTTTTATATTCGGCATATTCGGAGTCTAGGTATATAGCAATCCAATCTAATATATTCATTATCTAGCTCTCGTTAATAGCTTCTAGTTACCTTCTAGTTACTAGCCTAATGTATAGCCTCGGCACTAAACTAGTAGCGGGCGGCTATTGCGTTGAAAGTACGGTTGGCGGCGAAGTAGTAGCGGTAGACTAGAGTGCGTGCCTCGTCGGGGGTGCTTGTAAAGTCGAAGGGTTTGACTAGGCGTACGATAATTGCTTAATAGCTAGCTACGAAGGGTTTAGCTAGGCGTACGATAATTGCTTAATAGCTAGCTAGGCTAGGCGTACGATAATTGCTTAATAGCTAGCTAGGCTAGGCGTACGATGATTGCTTAATAGCTAGCCAGGCTAGGCGTACGATAATTGCTTAATAGCTAGCTAGGCTAGGCGTACGATAATGGCTTAATAGCTAGCTAGGCCAGGCGTACAAGGATGGCTTAATAGCTAATAGCTCCGTAGACTAGAGTACGTGCCTAGTAGCGAAGGAGTAGCGGTAGACCAGAGTGCGCGCCTAGTAGCGAAGTAGTAGCGGTAGACTAGAGTGCGTGCCTTTAGACTTGGTTCCTGTATGAATTCAGAGCGCCTAATACTAAAGGAGGCCTCCGGTAATTTCGAGAACTAGTAGCAATTCTAGCCTTAGGCATTCGACTAGCAGTCGGCGGCTATTACGTTACGTTGAAAGTGCGATAATGTATAGCCGTTATTGTTGCCTTACTATTATAGCTAAATAGCGCAATCCTATTAGTAGAGGCAAACCTTACCTGCGATGCGCTAATATAGACCTACGCTTCCTAGTTTAACTTCTTCTTCTTCTTCTTCTATATATACTAACACACTAATACCCCTAGCAACATACTAGCTGTCGGCTTCTTAGCAATAGTGTCGATACCTCTTTGTCGTATATAGGTAGCTCTATAGCGATTAATACTATTCCTTGCTAGTTCTACGGCTTGCTACCGATAGAGCCGCTTGTCTAATAGTTAAGGTTCCTCGATCGGTAGAGTTTGTTTAGTCCTTCTTTTAAGGTCTCCGATAGGCTTTGCCGAGCAAGACGTTACGAAGGCGACTCTCCTAGCGAGTAGGTTGTTTTCTATAGCTTTAGCGGGCGTCGACTGCGCATTTAACCGAAAGA